CCGATTTCTGTCAGATCTCTGTCCGGAAGGACAGCCAAGTCTGGCACTAAAGCACACGATTCGAGCACTCGTTCATAGTATTCATCATTCAATTCATTAGTGAATACAATATTCTCTTTGAGTGTCTTATTCTGAATCCATGCCTCTTGTGGTACATAAGCGACACTTCCCTTAACACAAGCGCTTCCCTCAAGAATTTCCAATTCACCCAAAAGTGCCGATAAAAGCGATGACTTCCCGGCGCCCACTAAACCCACGACAGCCACTAATTTCGGTTCAAACACTTCCAGCGATATATTCTTCAGAACCGGAGGAATATTTTTATCCCAAGAAAATGTCACATTTTTTATTGATATTAAAGGAGATTTGTGTTTATCTTTAAAAACGGTGTTTTCATTAATTTCCTTAGCGTTAATGAATTTATTGATTCTGTTAAGGGATACCAAACACTAAATTTTATTATTAGTAATTATAGATCATTATGATTTCAAGTTTAATACCTGTCCACCTTTTGATAATAATTCAGAACTACGTCCGAGTGGTAATCCTAATGTTTAAATAATCCCACATTGATCATTAAAACAATTTCAAATTAATATTGTATAAAATTATTTACTCATTAAATTAAACAAAGTCAGGGAAACAAACGCTTTGTTTGCGTCCAGAATATTATTTGGAGAGATTACTACAAATGCCATAAAACTGATTAAACACATCTATGGTTAAAATATCAATCAAATTATCAATAATTAAATTTAATATGCATGATGTAACATACAAACAAGTGAGATGATAGAAACATAAATGTTATGGCGCTCTCATATACGGCCATTTTATTAAGTGCCTTCACCTCCTGGTCCCGGGCTTTCAGCACTTGATCACTGAAAGCCTTTTCCCAGGCATACAATTTCAATACTCTAATACCGTTCAGTATTTCACTTAATATTTTCACCCTATGATCCTTAATTAGCATCTGCATCATTTGGTATTTTCTCACTTTATTAGCCATATATCCGTTGAATGGCATTAAAATGACCAGAAATGCGAGACCGGCGAGAGTTGCGACACCTAATTGTTGCCACAATAGGATCATAGCTATTGTGATCTGAAAGGGTGACGACAATATTATGGTTGCATTTAAAATGAAGTCTATTATATACTGAATGTCAATAGAAATTAGATTTACTATTTCACCCAGAGTGAAATCCTTTCGACCAAAACTTGATAACTTTAAACTCTGTTTTCATAAACAATGTAATCTTTATATATTTATATCATGTTAACTGTAAACATCTATATCATTTTAAACACAATCAAAAATACCTTTTTATAGATACATGATATGAGTGTTGCTCTGATTCTCATTGCCATTACAGTAACCCGATATTCATATTGACTGTTAAATAAGGACTCAAACAGAGGGGCAATAAACATAAGGGAGGCGTAGAATAAACCCCTCCACTGGGGCTCAGCATTAGAGGTACTCATGAATGAAATGAGTCTATCGAGTACTATAGGGCTAATAAATGCCAGACAAATAGAAATCAGTTTAAACGCACTGACAGTTAATAATTGCATCCAAAAACATTTCAAAAGTGGGTTTATAATATTCATGTAAAATTGCTTTTGATTTTCTTTTAATATTTTACTCTTTATTTGCTTTTTCGTTAATTGTAACCAAATTTTGCTAAATTTTGTGTAAATATAATCAGTGGTGTTGTGATTGTCTAAATACCACATGTCTTCAGATGTCAATGGTTTTCGGTATCCCTTGAAAATGAGTTCATTAAACCAATTGAATGTG